GGACACAATTCTGTTTCTCTTTTGGAGAAAATGTCAGAGGAGGCGTCTGAAGCTCATCTACTTTGTTGGGTTTTTTTTTCCCTGGCAGAGGTGGTGACTTGGCTCTGCTCCCCAGCACTTGTACTCCTCTGTATTTCTTTCAGACCAGCCTCAGCATTTACCACAATCAAGTTAACCTCACTCTGTGGTTCCCTGCTCTGCAGAAAACCCTTCCCAGGTCAGAACAACCCAGAGAGGGGCAGGCAGCACCTGCTCCGCTCTCAGCTCGAATGTGAGTTCAGCAAAGAGCTTTCTTCAAACATGGTCTCCTCAGTAATATTTGGGCTCCCCAACCCGCATTGCCCAGGTGTGGTGGGATCAGGTGGGGTCTGCACAGCCAAAACCTGGGAATGCCGCTGATGGTGCCCTGACAGCTCCCCGATTGTGGGGTGGAAATCACGGGATGCAAGAGCTAAATGTGTGTGTTTTGGCTGGCTGTTTTATTTTGCAGTAGACTCCCACCCTGCTGTGTGTTGCTGGCCATCCCTACTGCCCCTGTGACTGACCCACAGCTCTGTGCTCCCAAAATACCGCTGGCCATGCTGGCTGTGGGCCGGGGAAAGCGATCCCCTGGCTCTGGGAGCACGGCAGTGCCGGCTGAAAGCTGAGCTGGATGGCAGACAGATGCACAGCCTCTCCTTTCCCTTTTAGCTTCAGCACTGTCTGTTGGTTCTCTCTTTCCAAGGAAATGCCACATCCTCCTTTTTCCACTTTCTGAAGCCTGTCTCTGCTTTCCCCCTCCTCAAAGATCACCACTTTTCCCAACCCCCTGTTCACAGCGGAGCAGCCACAGCTCCTGGGATCACCATTTCCCCACGGATTTGCTCATAAATGTGGGAAAAACCTTTATTTGTTTCAGTCCAAACAAAGCAGCTTTGGGCCCGAGCTTTAAATGGCTTCACCACTGTGTGTCAGAGGATTTTGAAAAGATGAATCCTCTGCCTCCCTCCAGACGTGCCAATTCATCATGAGCCTGGGAGAGGTGGGTAGAGACAGCCAGTTCTCATCTCTGTAGACAGTCTGGAGGCTGAGGAACTGGGAGGTGAAGTTGAAAGGAGTGTTTGAAGAAGAAATACTGTCTGTGGCTGGGGATGGCTGGGGCTGTCTGGGAGTGGGGCTGGCTGCTGACCCGCCTTTGGCACCGCTCGTCCCGCTGCGATTTGGTGATCAGAGCAAGGCTGTGTGGGGTCAGGCTTCCTCCAGGCAAAGTGGGAAAGATCAGGGAGAGGAGGAGGCTCGAGGTGAGTTCACAAGAGAGCTCAAAAGCTGGAGGAAAGCTCAGGCTCAGGGAGGGCACCTCAGAACACAGAAGGGTGGTTTGCTGTGGCCTCTGGCCACCACACCAGGCTCAAACTGGGCACTGAGACCACAGCATGTCTCATATGCGACAGGTTTAAGGTGAAAATGAGAAGGTTTTTCTTAATTTCCAACCAAATAACTGAAAATATTGTGAAGATAGCTTATCTTGGAGATTTTGTGGTCCCAGAGACCACAAGAATAATTTTATCTCCTCTGAAATACTGGCTCCCAGTAACGTGGCCAGCTGCAATCCAACAGTGAAAAGCGTGAAAAAAATAAACAGAAATCTCAGCTCAGAGAATTTGGAAATTAAAACTCTATATACCTTTCTCCACACAAAACCAAATACATTTAAAATGGTTTATTTAAAAAGTAAGGATTAAGTACATTATACATGGTTGTGATTATACCAGTAGAACTGAAGCACAGTGGAAATAACACTTTAGAACCGCAGACAGAAATGTAGCCTCAAGGGACATGATATATTAGCCCTTGTGGATATGTGATCCATACAGAGAGAAAAGGAAATAGAAAAATAGTTTATTGTTAGATGTCTGGGCAGCTGAAGTGATTTCTCCTTTTACTCCTATTGTGTATGAGAAATGAGGAAGAGAGAGTTCATGGTATACCTGAAACTTTGTTTCTTGGAAAATCAAATCTGATCCAATAGTATTTATATATATTTTTTTTTAGTTCTGCTGCTACAGTATATTTTATACCAAAAGACTGATTATTGTTAATGACATGGTTTTATGATATCTGCAGGTCTTGCTGGGAAATGGGGCTCATTTGTTCAATGCTGTCCAGGGAAACCAGAGAGATGTGGAAGAACAGATGATTTTTTTTTAAACTATCAGAGTGGTTTCAAAGTCTGAGCGCAATCTGACTCTGTTCAGATAGATCAACCATGGAGCAACACTGTTCATGGGCAGGAATACTGCAAATTTTTCAATTTTGTCAGAATCAAAGTTTTTCATGGGAAAGGACTGGGGTTTTGAGTTTTTTGTATTGGGTGTATTTTTTTTTTTTTTTTTACTGCAATTGCCAAGTGAATGTTTTTGGTTTTGCCTTTGGTTGAACAATTTACTGCACTGCAACTTAACTGCTGAGTTTTCAATCGCAGCCCTTGTCCCACAGGACAAAAGCTCTGGTCCCTGTTATCTGCCCATGACTTTGTTCCATGTCCAGACCCCAGGAGCATCTCATGATCCCAACTCCAGCTCCATTTCTCGAAGGTGCCTGCTGGAGAAGGAGCAGATGCTCCAGCTTGGACCAAAACAGGGCATCACTCCTGGAGAGCTGCTGGACCCAGCTCTGCCCTGGGGGAGGAGGCTCTGGCAAAGAGCAACATCCCAAAATGCTCAGCAAGACTTTGCTTTTTCTGCCAAAAATACTGCACATGCCTCTGCAGGTCTGAGCTGGGCTGAAGAAAAACCTTGGACTTTGTCTGGAATCTGATGGGTGGTTTGAAGCACATTCACTGGAGAACGACGACTAAAAGAACAAAACCCACATGTGGAGCAAACCTCACACTGTCCACTTCCAGTTCAAGGTACATGAGTTTAGAGAAACAGCCTACATCTAACTCCTGGTTTGAAAGGGAATGGTTTTATTCTTAATTACAGTAAACACGGATGAGGACTTAGTTCTAACTATTAGTTTTTTAACACAGTGGGAAACAAATAGTTCTGGGAAATTGCACTTGAAAAATACATTGACTATAATTAGATGTAAATTAATTAGCACTTAGTATGACACACTAATGAGACAGAAGGTTGGTTTTTTTTCATTGCAAACTTCTACTTCTATCATAGCTAATCAAAGTATTTTAATATTACGAAGTCTCAAAAAGTAGGAAATAATTTATTGTTTGAAAGCATAAAGATTCTTGTAAAAAAAACCTTTCATCAAGAACTTTAATAGTTTTAGAACCCTTTTATGTTGTCCTAGCCGAAAAGTAGGTAAAAAAGTTTTCTTTTCTGCCTCTGTTTGATTTTTTTTTAAAAAGCTTGTGTAACATCTTTCTCCATAGTGTGTTGATACAGAAAGTAGCACAACATTTTCTACTTTTAAATCGTTCCCATCACTCCATTCGCTTTAGCTCTCAGAGTTCAGAGGTTTGAAAAAAGGATCCCAGCGGAGTTTTAACCTGAATGGAAACTCTTAATGAGCAGGGATGAAGGCTCCAACCCACCCCTGCCAAAATAATGATGTGGCTGTGCCAGGCTGAGGGCCAGGCAGAGCTTAACAGTGACCAGGGGAAGACTCTCGCTTAAAATTGAGATTTGTGTCTTGGTTCTTGCAAGGAGAGAGGCTTGAGCAGGGTTTCTCTGGGGGGAGAGGGGATTCAACTTCCTTTTTGGGATGTTAAGGCAGCTTCTCCGGGATTTCCCTGGAGAACTTGGTTCCAGTAGCTGAAAGCCTTGTATCCAAACCACCACTGAGTCTCTGGCTCTGGGGCCATCATAGGATAAATTAAGACTAAAGAGGTTTTAACAGTTTGGTTGAGATCTCCCACTACCAGTGACCCAAACTTTCAAAATTATGGATTTTTTCTTGTCTAATCTTCTTCTAGCAAAGATTTTCTGGGCAAAGATGATGGGGATATTCAAAGGAATCTACAGGAATTAGATGCTCCTCTCTCACTGCATCTAATTCATATGAGGGAAATCGGGCACCTCATTCTCATATGGCTTGGTCGAGTGGTCACTAAAATCAGCATGAGTACTATTAAATTAAATTACCTTTGAGTCAGGCCCTCGAGCTTTGAGATCCAAGCCTAAGTGTAAAAACTGAAAGCAGGAATTTCTAAGAGAAAAAAAAACTATTTCAGACTCTTTTAGAAACATACAGAAGCAAAGGGTACAAATTAGTTCCCTCCTTACGTGATGCATAGAGTTTGCTGTGGGCTCTCTGCACGTAAGTCATCATTACAAAATAAATTAAATTAGGTTGAACCACCATTTCCATCTAAAAGCAACTATACCTTGCACCATGCGGCACTTAATTCATAATAAAAAGAGTTTAATAAATATCTCATAAACGGTGATTAATTTTTTCTTTTTTTTTTTTTTTTGTTTTGTTTTTGTTTTTGTTTTTGTTCTGTTTTAAAAAATACAAAGTTATCATCTGCTCTGTTAACACTCGGCTCCCGTTGCTGCGGGAAGTTTCGCCAGTCCGGGCGCGTTCTCGTTGCTCGGAGATCTCTGTTTCCAGTAGCGTTAGTGTTGCACTTGTGAAGCAGTAAGGAAATCAGGAGCGCGGTCGCGGGGCTCAGCCCTGCTCCCCGCCGCGCTCTGGGAAGTCTCCAGGAGCTCCTGACAGCCAGCACTCAGCACCTTGCCGGATCAGGCACTAGGGCTCGTCGAAATGAGAATTCAAGTTTTCTAAACGTTAGGCAAGAAATGATATTTGCAAATATGCTCAAGTCCCACCTATTTTATCTTTTTCCCTTTCTAGGTGTTTCAAGACGCACCCACCCTCTGCTCCTCGGCCTGCTTTGCCCCAAGGGATGCCTTAGCCCAGGAATGGGAGATCCCCTTCCCACCCCATCAGGGAGTCTGTAATGCTCAGTACGTGGGTGCTCCACGGTTTCAGTGGCACAGGTCAGTTTTAGAAAGTGTTGCCTTCAAAAATATTTTCTTTTTTTTTCTTTTTTTTTCTTTTTTTTTTTTTTTGAAAGAGGCAAAGCTTATGCCGTGTCGAAGGAAAGTGGCTCACTTGATGAGTAGTTCATTTTCATCCTTGGGCTTGGTTATAAATTATATTTGCAAGTTTGTATTAAGGGATCTCTATATTAGAAAAAAAAAAGAAGTACAACAATTTTTCTGTAATCCTTTAAAACACACTGGTGGCCAGTCCTTTGCAGTTTCTCCAAGACTGTGTACACACTACAAAAGTGCAGGAACATGAACTGCCTTCATCTTGTGACACCAAGAACGGAAATAAACAAACCCCAAATAGCTTCAAAAAAAGCTACGAGTGTGTAAATATCTTTATGTTGGTCCAGAGGGTCTCCACTCGCTACCTCAACACATGCCACAATTAAAGAGGTGAGAGGGTATTTTAACATCGCTCCTGACAGATCCATTCTGTTTGGGCATCTCTTCAAAAAGCACGAGGAAGGAAGGTTCTTCAAACAGGCGTCGTTCTCCTGTTGACCATGTTGACGTGGAGTCCTTCCTTAAATTCCTTCTGGAGGAAGTTGTGGACCTGCAGGAAACTGGCTTCTTGGTCTGCATTGTAGCTGGCAGCCGTGGTAACCTTCAAAGGCTCCCTGGAAAGGGTGTACATGGAAATTTCATTCATGGGGATGGTGCCTGCTATCTTCATGCCAACCGGAGAAATGTCCCTGGATGGAGAAGGCTCCGTGGATCGGGAGCTGGATCTGGACCTCCTCCTCCTGTACCTATAGCTTGGCATCCTGGCATAGGGAGAACTGGAAGAAGTCTTAAGGAATTCCCTCTTGGTCTTAAACCTCAGCTCTTTGTTCTTCTCAATATAAATGTTCACAGCCAGAACGCCGATGGTTTCGGCCACAATAAAAGACAAGGCTCCAAAATAAAAAGACCAACCATAGTTGTAATGGTTCTTTTTGTCCTCATCTCGCTTGTCACTTGGGTCACCTGCATTGCTCGATATGTAGACAATGATCCCTATGATATTACTTAGACCTAGAGGAAGAAAACCAGAAGTCAGTGGTTATGTGGCTGGGGAGATAAAATTCAAGCTGTGTTACTTTCTGGACCTGAATTCTGGACCTGGTTCTAAGACTGGGACAAGGAAATTTCACAGCATTTATTTACTCTTATATTTATCTCAAGGATTCATTTATTCCTGAAAAAACAACCAATAGATCAACATATGGGTCATGTGTGGATCCCAAAACACTCAAAAGGACTTTTCCCTATGTCTTCACGGCCAGTGGAAAAGCAGCAGCATGTGGGAGCTCACTAATATTGTGAGTGGGATTCTAACATCCAGAGGAATGATAAAAATACATTTGGAGCTCAGGGCTATGGCTGATCACCTTGATCAAGGTAAGTTCTTTTCCACCTTGCTGAATTTTCATCTAAATGCAGCATGCTTCATGCAGGCTGCAGGGAGAGCTATTAACAATGGGGCTGACTCTCTCAGATGTTTCTAGTGTGAAAAACGGGCTTACCTATCAGAGGTGAGTGTTTTCTGCCTTCATATTATAAAAAAAGGCCCTAGGTATAAGAGATGCCTAATTCATCTAATGTTTAATACATTTTAAATAGTGTAAAACATGCTTGTTACTGAGTTTCACTTCCTTCTGCAGGAAAACCGAAAGCTTTTCTAGAATATACTTTTTTGGTGGGGCTTCAAGAGCATAATTTTGCCTTGAGAAATTTGCCTGGTGTGGTGTTGTTAATGCCCTCAGTCCAGGAAAGGGGTGCAGGGAAAGCACTGCCAAGGAGCTTTTCCAGAGTCTTTTCCAGCTGAAAAAGGCAGCACTTCTTAAGAACTCAATTTAAACAGAACATACCTGCTGCAACAAAGAGAATCCCAGCGCTGAGAATAATGTTGTTTTTGCTGTTGTAAATCCTTCCTGCTCCGATACAGAGCCCTCCCAGCAACAGCAAAATTGTGCTTAGGATGGGGAACACGCTGGAGGCACGGACGATGCCTGGAGGGAGACAGGTAGGAAGGGAAGACAGACAAATCATTTCAGGTGCTTCCTTGGGTTGCAAGTGTGCAGATTAGTCTCAAACCTCTGGGTTTTTTTTCCTAAAATTGTTAAGAAGAACGTTTTAATAGAACCAGAGAATTGTTAAGGTTGAAAAAGACCTTTAAGATCATCAAATCCAACAGCACCTCCACCATGCTTACCACTAAACCATGTCCTTGAGTGCCAGCCACATCCACACATTTTTTGAACACACTCAGGGATGCCTGTTCCAGTGCTTCATAACCCTCTCACTGAAGAAATTTTTCCTAATATCTAACCTATTATAATTTTTTATTCCTTTTCGCTAGAATTATCACTGATTCTGCATTTTTGGGCATGTTTTTTGGACGATGAAGCCATGAGGTGACCAGTGTGACACAAACTCTCAACTGAGTGGCTTCAATCTTTTGAGCTTTCTCCCAGGAAGTCCAGCATTATTGCCATTTTCTGATGCCACTGTGTGCAGAACATTTCTGGCTAAACACGAGATAAGTGACAGTAAGACCCAGCATCACGCAGGGAGCAGCAGTGAAAAATTCATGAGCTGGCTATGAACCCTACAACGTTTGGGACAGCTGGAGCAGACGGATCTGTTCCATGGTGCACACACAAGGTGAGCAAATTACAGCTCTTGAAGTCAGCAGCATCCATGTTGTCAGCAAGCACAGCTAATAACCCCTTTTTCTTTTGCTGGATATTAAGGACATTGAAACCTTTCAGATTTCTAAGGAAGGAATTTTAACAAGTGTGTCTTAGATGTTTGTGTTTAGTTTCCTGACAGCAAAGCAGTCATTTAAAATTCTGCATGCTTCAGTCCATTCATCAGCATATAAAATCCCCCACAAAAATATTAAAACACCACTTCAAGCCAGCTTTCAAAGTCGGGCCACAACAAGACAGAGCAGCAATCGACAGGGAAGCGGCAGTGAGCGAACAAAAGGGCTGAGAAAAAATAAACAAGCATGAGAAAAGAGATGTCTGCATTGTAAAAACCGAAGGGGTAAAAGCTGGCAGAGGTTCCTGAAAGGCAGAGTGAGGAACTGAGTTTTATTGCTGTAGAGAGCGGATCTATTTTTTGAAGAAGGGGATATAAGGTGCTGAATGCTGCTGTGGAAAATGGGATCACCCCGAAGCTGGGGAAAGGCGAGGGCACGGAGGGGAGCCCTGGCGGAGCGAGGGGTGCAGGGCTGGGGGATCCCAAGGCGAGCAGCGGCTGCTGTGACAGGGGCATGGAAACCTCACAGCAGATGGGGAGGCCACGGGCCAGGGCTCGGTGGGTGGAGAGGAGCCATCTGGGCAGCTGTGCTCTCTCGGGGTGCATCCTCCTGGCCGACACGCAGGGCCAGCAGAGCCCGCTTCCCCGGCAGAAATGGACAGATGTTCCAGCTGCCGCTTTCTCTTCTCGCTGTCCATGGCCGCGGCGTTCCCGACTCAGTGAATCGCTTCCCAGCGATTCCCCTGCTAGCTGGTGACAGAACTGGTGTCCCTCCCCGGGCTGTGGAAGGGACAGGGCTGGGGGTTCTCTCTCTGTGCCCCGCTCCGCCCGGAGGTGCAGACACAAACCCAAAAACACGGTGCCCGCCTGGGAAGCTTCTGCAACAGCGAGAAAAGTCCATCCTTTCCCAAACCGGCAGCGTGGCTGCACGTGTCCTTCACAGATGGGGCATTTTCCAGGCGGATCTGAAGCCGGTCCAGGCGGGTGCATTGCTATTCAGACAGCGTCTGGCAGGAACTGCCAAATCCGACTGATGCGAGTGGGTGTAAGGTCTCTGCTCAAAGCCTGCTGAGAGCTGAGAGCCTGTTCCCGTGTCGTGAGTGGATCCCCACGTGTGTGGTATGAATTAGCAGCTCTTTGGCTTTTGGGTCAGTTTTTTCAGTCAAGTATTAGAAAAAGATTCAAAGTCAGCCTCTGCTGCTGGACATTAAGGTATCCAAAATTTCGGTCTGTCTTTGTCCCCTGGCTAAAGGCCTAGAATGTCCTGTGGCCCACCCTTTCTGGATATCGTTTCCTTCACTTTATGGTCATGCTGTTTATAATGATTTCAGTTGAATCAAAGAGCTTTCCTGAAGTGCTTCGGTGATATCATTGGAAGGAACTTGTCAGACGTACCCAATATAGGGGGTGGATTGTTCTATGTGTGTTAATAATCTCCAGTAATAATTTTTCTATATTGGGTAATTAATGCGAAGAGAAACAAAACACACAGCGTTCCCTTCCTGAAAAATTCCACAGCATATTTTTTTCTTACAATGTGTACTTTTAGCTCTGAAGTTTCAAAGGAAGCTTATAAGGTACCACGTAGAATTTACATATGTCTCCTGATACTGGTAATAAAATGACAGCGCATCAAAAAACATTAAGGCAATCTGGTTTTTGCTTTCTCCCTGGCTTTTCTGCCCCCCCCCCTTGTTTACCGTCCTGTCGCTTTGCATCGCCTGCTGTGCACCGCTATGTGTGGTGACACCTCCTTCGGTGGAGCCGCGGAGCTGCTCCTCCCCATGGGGCTGCAAACCCTGCTCGGCTCGGGCTTTTCATCTCCAGAAAGGCAGGAGCCCAGGGAATGGCTTTGGAAAGAGGATGCTCCAGCATGCAGGGAGGAAGGGCATGAAAGTGTAGAGATGCCCCTGGAGCAGGGTCCCCCTGCTCAGAGCAGCAGAGCCCCGACATCCCCAGTGTGGATGAGATTCCCCTTCTGCAAAGGGAGAGGTGCCTGAGCTTCCTGAGATGCTGGGTGGGAGCAGCTCGGGTTTTGTGTGCCCAGAGGAATGCGGGAGAGGAGGGAAGCAGGAGATGTGGGAAGCAGGAGACAGGGAAGCAGGAGATGAGGGAAGCAGGAGACATACAGGGAAGCAGGAGATGAGGGAAGCAGGAGTCGAGGGAAGCCGGGGCGCATTTGCCGCTGGGGATGCGGTGGCAGCCTGAGGACCGCGGGGCTCTCCGTGCTGGCACTGGGACATCTGCTGCTCGCTGGGGCCCTGCTCAGGCATGTGAGGGGGATTTTTTTAGACACACAGATGGGCGTGTGTTGCCACGGGGAAGGTTCAACAGGAAGGGTCTTGTCTGAGCTCCTCTGCACGTGTCAGCTTGTCACCGCACTGGCGTTCGCTTGGTTTCGCAGGGAGCAGCTTGAACACCAAAGGGCAAAATCCAAACTCCTGCCTCTACCCACTCCCTAGACCAAAGTCTCCCAAAATCAGTCATTTTTGTCACTGATTTCCATGGGGTTTTGAACCAGGGCTCCATCCTGCTAGCACCAGTGTTTGCATTTCTCTGAAACCCAAATTAAATTGAGGACTGTAGAAGAGGCTGAGACCCCTCACGCTGCTCTTTCAGGAGCACGAAATACATGAGTGTGGGTGCCTTTGTCTAAGCCAGGCAGGGAAAATAAATATGAGTCTCAACATGTCCCTCTGAGAAACTGTGCCAAGAAATGGCCAGAAATAGTGGAGAATGATATGGAGCCAGTAGACTGCAAAGGTGTTGCAGAGGGCAAAAACAGGATGGAAGCTCTCACGTCCCTTTGAAAGAGGATGCAAATATCCTCCTGTCTTAGACAATGATTTGGTCCCTATTACATATAGGTATGAGCTCATCTCCTCTGGATTTAGACACGTAACCTTTCAGTAATCTCTAAATCAACTCTATGCATGGGAAACTGCAGTTCTTATGAAAGTTAAAGCCAAGGAGCCTTATCTCCATGCAGACTCTGTGAGGTGAGCTCTGCTCTGCGGGGGAGACTGGAGGCTGATTTTGCACAAGACATAAAGGGTTGGACCAACTTGTTTTTAAGATCTGTACTTAGTCACTGTTGCAAACAGCTTTTAGGAACACCCGTCACAAGCACACTTACAAACAATTTACCAGTCTCATGTCTTAGCGTGGAGCTGGAGACTGTTTTTCCCAGTTCTCACTTTTCTCCATATAAAGAAGGCATAATGTGCTTTTATCAAGATGCTACTTAGTTCCTTTTTCCTTTTACTAATGATGTTTGTTTCCTAAAGCTGACTTGGCATCAATTTAACATTAGTTCCAAGGCTTTGTATGAAAGATAAATGCAGCTGTGCTCACACTCTGCCTTTGCCTGAGCTCTGAAATCGTGTCACCCGGGTGCCATGACTGATCTAAATCGACAAGAGCAAAGAGGAAAAAAACATCTGGGTTTTCTGGTGAGGAAACTTTTTGGAGATTTTTTTCCTTCTTCATGTCTTAGCAACTAGAAGTTGTTGCCCAGAAGTGAGCAGAAGGGCAGAGTGGCTCTCTAAGTGGTGTTTCAGGTAATTAATATTGTAATTGAGGAGTTCTCTGCTTTGCCAGCAGCATTGTTCTCTGCTCCCTGATTCCCCAACACCTTGTGAGCTGCAGTTCCTCTCCCTGGTAAAGGGCACTGCTTTCAGCTTGGCTGCTCAGCTCTTCTGTTCAGAAGGAACAACAAAGCATGGAGTCCTCTGGGGAAGGGGAATCTAACTCCAACTTTGCAGGCTTTGTGGTTGGGTTCCAAGATTTGCCATCAGCTGAGAGAACGGTCATGTGGAGGGGATGAAACAACTGCCCTTATTTCAAGCACCAGGTTGGTGGGTGAAATCCCTTCCAGGGGGGAATTACATGCCAGCATGGAGCAGCAGTGGCTGGCCAGGCAGGGAAGCCACAGCCCCTGTTCATGCTGAGAATTTGCTGTTAGCTGCAGAAATTCCAGCTTCCTTCCCCCAGTGCAGTCATTTCACTTCAGGGGGAGGTGGCTCACCAGCTGCAAAGGCTGAGGCTTGAGTAAGGGTTGGGTTTAAGCATTTGGTAAAGCTCTTAATGGGCTGGAACCCACTCCTCAAACCTGTTTTGTTACAATAGCCCTATAAATGCTCCCTCTGTAAAATATCCTCACCAATCTGGGCACAATAGCTGTAGTTTCCATTTGAAAATGTGTCATAGGATGTTTAGCAATCGGCACCAATATTGTGAGCATTCCCCCGGCTGAAGGAAACCCTTGGAAAAAATCCTTGAAACCCCATGGCAAGAGGGTTGGAACTAGATGGTCTTTAAGGTCCCTTCCAGCACAAACCATTCCATGATTCGATGAAGTGGGGTCCCCAAGAGTGATGTTGTGTCAGCTGCAGTGTGAACCGGACATGTGCCACCACTGGGCTGTGCAGAGAGTAAAACTGGGGCTGCTCTCTGCAGAAGAGAAACCCAGGGAAGCCCCTCTGGCCACATCTTTGTGTCAGGTATCACTGCTCACTTACGGAGAAGGTACTCTGAGCTGTCGTGGTCGTAGTCGTTGTCTTCAGGGAAGTGGTTGATCCGGAAACAATGTCCTTTGTAGATTCCTAAATGGAAACAAAGCAAACAGAACCCGTAAGGAACAGAAGCAGGTAAATGTGCTTTTTTTTTTTTATCCTGTCAAGAAACCATCTCTAAAGTCACAAATTTTGGGCAGATTTGGCTGAGGGAAGGGACAGACAGGATTCCTGGGCTCTTTCCTTCAGGCACTTATATCGTTCTCTTGAGTTTTTTAATCTCTAAGTGCTTCACTTTATCAGCGCTGTGCTTATCTTGCAAGCATACTGAGTTTGCAAAGCTTCTTTTTGTTCCCAGAGTGGCTGTCAGGCTGGGTCCCTGCTCCATGGCTGGAGCTCCCAGTCCCAATCTCGCTGCCATCACCCTTCCCATCACATCCCAGTGAAGTGCAGCCTACCCTTATCAGAGCTGCTGAATTGTCTGAGGCCTCTTCAATTACTCTCTAGGCTGTGAAAACAAGTCCATAAATCTCTTCCTGCTTCAGTTTAAGCCCTTATATCCCACTCGAGGTTGGCTCTGCTTTTAATGGCATATTTGTTTAGTTAACTGGGAGCCTGTGCAGTAAAGTCAGGGCGAAGTGTGCACTCCTGATCCCTGGAGGGACAACACCAGAGCTGGCTGGACAAACCCCTCACTCATCTCAGCACTTTTTCCATGCAGGAAAAGCTGTCCATGAGCATTTTGTGCTCTTTCCTATCACAGTTATCCGTAGTCTGAGCTGCAGTTGGGTTGCTGTGGCACAGGGAGCTACACGGGGACCTCTCCCCAGAGAGCTTCCTGCAGGAGTGAGCCCTGAGCTGTGATTGTGCCGTGGTGCTTTCATTATTCATTAAGCAGCGCTCTCCTGCTCGGGAACACATCACCCAGGCTGAGTTATCCCTGCACAGGAGTCTCGGTGCTTCCAGCTCGAGCTGGCAGAAGGATTTAAAACCCATCAGTTAATACTACTTTAACAGAAGCACAGCTGCAGTCTGTAGGATATAAATGTGGATTTATTTCACTACCTATTACCAATGATTACAAAGATCTCAAAAGAATTACTAATCCGGAGGATTTAAATTGCACCCTGTGAGTGTCAACTGCAGGTTTGCTACTACAGCGCATTTAATTCTTCCAGTAAATGATGTATCAGCTCTAATTGCAGCAACGGCTCAGGCTTTCTCTGCACAGCACTTCAAAGGCTGGGAACAAGATGTAAGTGGCTCATGTCACATCTGGAAGTGACACACCTGTCCTGGCTGCCAGGTGGGGAGAGCACTTCAGCTGGGCTGGCTGCTGCTGAGCATCCCTGTGCTGGCCATCACAGGGGCTGCTGCTCCTCGTGGCTCTTGGGCAAGGTAAAACTCAGATTTTAAAGATCCCGGTGCTTATTTTCATGGCAGTTCACACAATGGAACTGAATCACCCCCAGCATTACAGAACTTCTGAGATTGGATGGTCATTTCATTGAGTCTCTGCATTAAGGTGTGTAATTTACAGGCAATACAGTCAGAATGTGGTTTTTATCTTCTCTATTTATTAAGGGAAAAAAAAAATCTAACTAATTTTTCCCATCCTAATTTCCTGTGGAAATAGGCTTTTCAATGACTGTGCTTGTGTGTGTATGGGTGGGGCCATCTCTCACTCTGTACACACTTCTCTGTAGGTATCATATTCTGCATCCTTCTCACACTGAGAGAAATCAGGGTTAGGGAGGATACTGGGATGAAATTCCTCAGAGAAGCTGGGGCTGTGCCATCCCTGGAAGTGTCCAAGGCCAGGCTGGAAGGGGCAGCCTGGGATAGTGGAAGGAGTGGGTGAAACTGGGTGAGCTCTAAGGTCCCTTTGAACCCAAAGCATTCTACAATTCTCCAATAAACCTTAGTGTAATTGGTTGAATTTATCCAGAGCTGATATAGAAATAGAAATATCTGTGGGCAGACAGGGAGATGCCTGAAGGAAAGGGCTCTGTGTCCCCACCACGGGCTCCTTCTGCACGTTCACAGAGTGGACGTGGCAACAGCCCAAACAAACACCTCAGTTCCAGAAGCTGAGCACAAGAAGGCTGCAAGACTGAAACATTCTCAAAGCCTCTTGTGCTGCAGCACTGATGGACTGATGGAGGGGTTTGGGCTCTGTAAAATGGCTCAACATAATTAAACTGTTGACTGAAATGGGCCCCTCAGCAGAACTTTGAGGCCATGAAGCCATTCCTTCCACTGCAGGGCTGGAATGCACCAGCAGGACAGCACTGATGAGACCTTTATTTCCTGGCTCTTATATTTAGAGCCTTTCACATGAAAGAGTATTAGCAAGACTAGCAGAGGTAAAAAACAGGATAATCACCTCCCCTCACCACCACAAAAAAAAAAAAATAAAAAAAAAGAAATCAAAAGTCTGGATGAACTTGAGAGTTTGTTTGTATTGTTAGTTTTTAGGAATACTGGGATTGGTAATTTTTAATTGGTCATTATTTATCTGGCTAAATTATTATAGAAATAGCAAATGACTGTGAAATTTGGATCTGTATCAAAGCCTAGGAATCCAAAATATTCTCTCCAGTATTTTTTATGTAGTTCAGACCAGAGATACTGGTAAAGGGTCCTCTCTAGTGCCTGTGATGTTTGATAGCTAATAACAGCAGCAGACTGAATAACTTTTTTCTATAAACTTAACAAGTGCAATGTAATTTAGCAACAGCTTATTAAACTCTCAGTGAGGCTTGAAGTTGCTATCAAGAACTCTGGTGATCTGCAGGGTATTGAGGCCTCTTTCAATCCACAAAGTATCTGAAATAAAGGCTTGCCAGGAAAAGTAACAATACCTCTTTTCTTCATAATGATGCAGTTTGAAACTCAGATTTGGTAAAAATTAAAACTAGCTGGAGAAGTGGTCAGCTCTAAAAGCACAACAGCAGTCTGAGTTGTATTTATACATGAAAAATAAAAGCAAAGCAAAGCTGGAATTTGGTGGAATACTCATGTCCATGACCTGGCATGTAAAGCAACACAAAAAGAATAAAAGTCATGGAATGGCAGAGGTGGCAGAAAAGGAAATGCCTCAATTAAACTCATTAAGAACCACCCTGCAAGTATCTGCACAAGGACAGAGCTCCTTGAAGCTCTCTTCCAAGGCTGCTCAGGAGCTCCCTTGGAGAAATGTGCAGGTGCCACAGGTCCGCACTCACTGAGGCACACAAAGACATTCCCCACCCCAGCAGGGGATGTGGGAGAGAGATTTTCTTCCTTGCTTGAGTTTGGGGATACAGTCCCTTATATCCTTGGGGGAGGAAGATGGAATATTTAACTCCTACTGCTGTACCCACTAGAGAGAGATAAATAAACTGCAATCACTGCCTAACAGATACTAAAATATTGAGAAGCACTTCTGGATACCTCTTGAGAGTGAGATATAATATGCCACTGAGATTCTGTAAGTATTACTCTTTTCTTTGAATGATTACTGATATGTTTTTAATGATGCCTTTAGAAATACAAATATTAGAATACATTTTTTCCCCTCATAATAACAATGACTTTGTTCTGAATTTTGAGCCAGGACTTCAGGATCTACGTTAATGATAATGAAGAGATAAAATTTCTGAAGTGTTGTTGATGGTGTAAGAACAATTTTTTTCCACTGGTTGCAGCATACTTAGCTGGCATTTAGGAACTATAAAGCATTTCTTACTCGGTTCTACTCGGTGTTCAAGGGCTTCTCTGGCAAGGTTAGTACTTCCCAATCTCTAAGTGTTGTTCAGGCAACTATAATTAGAGTGTGATGTACTCAGATAACGTGATAAGGGAGGCAACTGTAGTGCCTAAGTGAAGATTAAGCTTTGTTTTGGGGTTTGAGATCTCAAACTACATAGAGATTTCAACAGCAAATCAAAGCAGTGATCCCAAATTCTGATGACATACTGCCTTCTCCTTGCTCTTTCTCAAATAATTCTTTAATAATCCTGCCTCTATCACTGCAGATTGTTCACTGGGTTTTTATTTTTTGATGACTGAGAGTGAAAGTTAATGTTTAGGATGCAAATGCTTATTAATTTGGTGGTCTTGCATTACATGATCCTGTTATTGTCTGTACCATCAGCCATGTCTTTGAGAACAGCTGTTTCCTGTGGTTAGTGTTTGTCAAGGACAACATTCCCTGATGCCCTGGAAGTGTTTGCACAAATCAGCACTGGAAAACAGAGCCCTCAAATGTCTGACAATATTTGTCAATACAAGGCTGTACTTTTGTTTTCTCCCTGCCCTCATGCTGAAAACTCTACACAAGAAGCTCTTCCCATAGCAGTACTGCTCTGTTGTCATTTAAAATAGGTTTCCACCACTCCAGTCTCGAGCAGCTCTGCACAGAGGGCCCTGTCTGCGGGGGACTTCTGTCAATAGCAATTTTTGTCTCCCAGTGCTGAGCAGGCTTTACAGGAGGTGATATCCAATAGCAGTGGGAGACACTCGAGGAGAGAGGGGCTGAGCAGCTCCCTCCTTCCCCATCATCTTCCGCCAAGTCACTGCCCCATTAACTCTTTCAGCTGCCAGCCCTCCTTTATGCAGAAAGCTCTGGCTTTGGGGACCTGGTAGAGAAACCTTTCTTGTTTTCTCATGGGACAGCAGACATTTGTGATATCTTGGATCAAACCCTCCGCTGCCAACACGCCACATTCCTGCAGCTCTCAGCAGCTGAGGATCCTTGGAGCACACACATGCACACTATTAATAGTGGGAAGCAGGGGAATCTCCCAAAGGAGGGCACCGGTGGGATGAGGGCTGTGAATGGCAGCTGCAGAAGTGGTCACTTGGCAGGTAAATACACCCACAGTCACCCACCCCAAACCCCCACTCAGCAGCCAATTGCTTCCTGGCAGACTTCTGGGATGGTTTGGAGACATGGAATGAAATTATTTTCAGGATCATTTGACAGCAAGTGCTTGAGGAAACAGGGAATACAAGCTGCAAGGAGCTGACTGTATATTAAAAATAAGGCAATTAGTAAGATACCATGGGAAATTTGGACCAATGGTTCTGCTTGTTGCATCCATTCT